CTCTTTTGGTCAGTCCTACAGCTCGGATTCTTCAGCGACGATCGATTCCAGGATGGCATCCCGGAGGCTTCCGATGCTGGTCAGCTGCAACGCCATGGGGTTTGCAAAGCTGCGTTGTTTGTGAAATGGATCAACCAATGAATGACGCGTTTTTCCTGTTTTTTTGGCAAATTGAAACAAACACTATCAAAAGTAGCCAATGAAGTGGGTCCAGGTGAAATGGAAAATTTACGACCACAGTCATGGAGGTGTCTGATGTGGTCTGATGCGGCTAGAAAACCACATCCCCACCGTGACATATATATTCTGACATACTGTCTGACATATATTCTGACATACTATCTGACATTCTTTTTGACATTCTGACATATAATCCGACATTTTACCTGACATTCTTTCTCACAGTCTCTCTGGCAGTCTATCTGGCATTCTATCTGACATTTTAACTGGCATCCGATCTGGCACTCTATGTGACATTCTATCTGACATATATGTTGACAGTCTTTATTTTATGTCTTTCTGACATTCTAGCATTCTGTTTGGCTTTCTATCTGACATATATTCTGACATTCTATCTGACATATTATCTGGCATGTCTATTTGGCATTCTATCTGGCATTGAGACATTCTATGTGCATTCTATCTGACATGTTCAATGGCATTCTATCTGGCATGCTGAATTGCATTCTTTCTGCCATTTTTCACTGTTATTCATTCTGGCATTTAATTTGGCAATATTTGGCATTTTAACTGTCTGGCATGTGATTTGGCATTCTATTTGACATTTTGACTGGCATTCTTTCTGGCATTCTATCTGACAGTTTATTTATATATATATATATGGCATTTGACATTTTAACTGGCATTCTTTCTGGCATTCTATCTGGCAATCTATTTGACGATTTATTTGGCATTCTATTTTGTATTTTTCTTGGAGTAGTGTTGGGGCCCGGCGAATCCCAGAGAGCTGGCAAGCTCGCCAGCCAAGAGACCTTCACCAATAGCAGGCTGGGAAAAAACATATTGACGCGAGAGTTTTAGAATGTGAAATTATGTTGCACCTGATGATGGAAGATTTAGAATGTAAAATATACTATATGTATAATACAATAGAGACTAGATTTCAGATACCATAATAAATCAATATATATATATATATATAGATATAAATATAGATAGATAGATAGATCGATAGATAGATCGATAGATAGGTAGATAGATAGATAGATAGATATAAATATAGATAGAATTAAATATAGATAAATATAAATATAGATAGATTTAAATATATATAGATATAAATATAGATAGATATAAATATAGATAGATATAAATATAGATAGATGTAAATATAGATGGATGGATGGATGGATGGATGGATGGATGGATAGATAGATAGGTAGATAGATAGATAGATAGATAGATGTATATGTATATATATATATATATTGGAAGTTGGTAGAACAATATACAATATTTATCAGAGGAAGTGTAGTTCGAAAACTTCCAAGTTACCGACGAATGTCCAGGGCCAGTCTGGTCGTCATGTCATCATCATCTCAACAACATTATGAGCAAGAGCAGTTCGCAAGTGGAAGCAGTATAGAGAAGAGTAACAGTTCCGGAACGCGTGAATTCACGGGTGAAAACGCTATCGGGCCTGAAACCTTGCGTCTTTTTGGGTAAAGTGGCTCGTGGGGTCGCCGCAGTAGGGTCTCTGTTTCCGCGGGTTCGGGCCTCGCTGTGGGAAAGTTGTGGGCAAAAAGGGTACAGGACTGTGGCGAGAGCTCAGTTTGTACTTCAAAATGTTGAAAAAAATGTGACGTTCGGAGCACTCTTGGAAGATGTCGGCAAGATTGTACACGAGATAAATCGCAAAAAACTAGCACGTTCGGAGCAGCGCGCGCGGAATCGACCCCTGGCAAGCGGGATTGCAGCTGGAGGTTGCTAAACGCAGTGTAACAGCTGCGCGAAGCAGAAGCTTCAAAAGAGTAGCTGGGAGGCAGCTCAGAGCAGAAGTAGCTCAGATAAGTGGCTGTTCAGCGAAGACGACGCTCAGTGAAGAAGTAGCTCAACAAAGGAAAGTAGTTCGCCCATCCATCCAGTTATTCATCCATCCAGCTATTCATCCATCCAGTTATTCATCCATCCATCCATCTATCCATCCGTCCATCCTTCCTTTCATTCATTGGTTCGCTGACCCATGGATGCAAGGATTCACTGGTTCAGTGGTTCATTGTTTCATTGGTTCATTGATTCACTGAATCAGTGATTCATTTATTCATTGTTTCCCTGATTCATTGATCCACCGACGCGCTCATTATTGATTCATCGACCCGTGCATTGATTCCTTGATTCACTGAATCACAGAATCACTGAGTCATTGATTCGCTGAATCATCATTTCATTGATTCATCGGTTCATTGCTTCATTGATCCACTGAATCACTGCTGATTCATTGATTCATCTACTAGCTATCAGTCTTTCATTGATTCACTGAATCACTGGTTCATTGATTCTTTGACTCACAGATTTAGATTCCTTAATTGATTCATTGATTCACTGCTTCATTGACTCCTTTATTAATCGATTCCTTGGTTCACTTGTTGGTTGATTCATTGGGTCATTGCTTCGTTTTGCTTTGCTGCTTCATTGGTTCACTGATTCATGAATTCATCGAATCATTGGTTCATCCATTCATTGGTTCATTGATTCATTCATTCAATTGTGCACAGATTCTCTCGTCATTTCATTGGCATCTCAACCACCATTTCTTCATTCGTTGATGCACCTCACAACTTCAACCGCTCATGGTTTCTGCATCTCAAACAGGTTCCTATAGGCCATGGATTTCCTATATAACCATGTCACATGTCCTATTTTCGAAACTTCCGCCCCGGCGCGTGCCGGGCACTATTTGGTAAATGTAACAATGTATATACAACATGAATTCATATCCCCATTTTCAGACGAAAAAATGCCATGGTATGGTCAGCCATGGTCAGCACCAGGGTACGCAGAACAACCACATCCACTACGAACCCAGGGAGTTGGGGGCATCCAGAGGCTTGCAGGAAACCGTGTTTGCACCTGGGCTGCTGGCAACGGTTTATGATATTGAACTAGGAAAACTGGTGATGTACTGGGCATATTTCACCAACAAAATCTATTTGGATGTGTCTGCCCAGGTGGTATTTGTGGTGATGAGGATTTGGGGAGTGCCCTATACTCTCAGACAAACCCTTTTTGCACGTCAACCACCAAAAACAAATGGGTTGGTCTCACAATTGGAGGGTTTAACCCTTTTCTCTTAGCATTGTTCGGGCAAATCTTGATCAGACATGGAATTTGGGGATTCAACTCAAATGTTTGAGACGACCCCATATAATATATAGGTATGGTCAAAATTGGGGTACCAACGGACCCACAAGAGGTTTTTTTGGGTATCAAACCATGTAATTATAAGGAAAAACGCGTAACCAAATATGTTACTATTTACCGAACAAAAACCGGAACTTTAAGCATCAACATATTCGAATATTCAACAAAATGTGGAAATCTTACAACTAACAACCAAAGCATTGATATTTGCCAACGAAATATCGAATCTCAAGACATTGAAACAACCAAATTTCGAATTTCAAAAAGGTCTGGGGTGTTTACAAACAATGGTGGACACAATCGGGTGACGCGCCCCGCCCAACCCAACTTAATCTTCCAAGAAGCGAATAAAACCAATACACCTGATACTTGGGATGTAAAAAACCTCGCCTTATAGATGTCCTTTCACTTGTTGGTTGATGAAGACCGGAGGTAACCGGCCCCAGTGATCAGCCGAGAGACCTTGCACAGATCCAACCCATTTCTTACGTACCTGACATGTTCCCTCGTAACAACCTAAAGAGGCCACATTGTCTTGTAGGTACCTCCTATCTAGAAAATATCTGGGGTTACTGCGGGGAGTCACCCCTATGAATGGATGATTTACTGAGAATCTATCAAACATCCTGCAAGAAACAGTCCAGGGGTTCAATTCGTCACTTGTACTTGGAGGATCATCTAGCTTAGTGGCCTCAACTGGTTCTTAAGTGGTAAAAAAGCGCCCTCATCAATGGGATAGCCCACAAGTCGGGATTTCTTTACGATGCTTACTGACCACTGACAGTTCCTTAGATGATCAAATATGGTTGACATGCTTATTTTCCACCAAATTCTGGAATTTATAACTGTCCCCAAGAAGATAGAAACAGGTTGAATGCATCAAAATTCAGCACTATGTTTAGGATTTTACATGGTTTCATTTTTCCCGAATGCGTAGCAAGGGTTCCCGTTTCACTCTGGGGGTCTGGGGGCTGAGGGTGTGTTCGCTCGACGTTGCGTTTGTGGTCGCAACCGTCCGCAACCGTTCGCAACCGTTCGCAACCGTTCGCAACCGTTCGCGCGATCCCCGTATGGCCGTGCCTATGGGAAGTTTTACAGAGGTGGTCCTTTTTGGAGGTTTCAGACGTGTCGTTGCTTCGTTTCGCGTGGCAGGCGTGGCACTTCGTGACATTCAGACGTGTTCTGGAACGTGTCGAAAGTCGTTTTGCGTGGCAGGCGCAATACTTTTGCGACGTTTTCAGAAGATGTGTTGCAGTTTTCGTGGCAGGCGCAGCACTTTGGGCGTGTCCGTCGTCATTTTTCGTGGCAGGCGCAGCACTTTAGACGTGTCGCGTTGCGTGTTTTTTTGCAAATCGCATTGGCAGGGCTGCGTCAAGTGGCGACAAGGTGCAAATTCCGTGGCAGGCGTGGCATTTTGTGCGATGTGCTGAAAATTGACGGAAGCCTCGCACGAAACATCGATTTTGATGTTGCCAATTTTCGGGTTCTAAGGAAAACTCGTAGGAAAACGTCGATTTTGAAGCTGCAAAGTGTGAAAATTTGAGGAAGTCTCGCACGAAATGCTCGTTTTGGCGCTCCCACCTGTCTCTTCTCGCGTGTCTGGTTTTCCCGTGGCCTCGCCGTGTCTATGGGGGAAGCTGCAAGACTTGTCCTTTTGTCATGTTGCCAACTGTGAAAATTGGAGGACGTCTCGTACGAAATGCTGGTTTTTCTGCATCCACGTGTCTTGTCTCGAGTCGCTGGTTTTCCTGTGGCGTCGCCGTGTCTATGGAGGAAGCTGGAAAACCTGTCCTTTTCGAATGTTTCCAGGCAGGCTGTGTTGTTGTTTTGCGTGGCAGACATGGCACTTTCTGACATTCCAACCTGTTTGATGATGTTCACAAAATTTCAAAATTGGAGGAAGTCTCGTAGGAAATGCTGGTTTTTCTGCACCCACGTGTCTTGTCGCAAGTGTCTGGTTTTCCTGTGGCGTCGCCGTGTCTATGGGGGAAGCTGGAAAACGTGTCCTTTTCGAATGTTTCCAAGCAGGTTGTCATGTCGTTTTGCGTGGCAGGCGTGGCACTTTTTGCGTGGCAGGCGTGGCACTTTGTGACATTCCAACCTGTTTGATAACGTGTGGAAAATATCAAAATTGGAGGAAGTCTCGCACAAAATGCTCGTTTTTTTGCATCCACGTGTCTCGTCTCGAGTCTCTGGTTTTCCTGTGGCGTCGCCGTGTCTATGGGGGAAGCTGGAAAACATCTCCTATTCGAATGTGTCCAAGCAGGTTGTCATGTCGTTTTGCGTGGCAGGCGTGGCACTTTGTGACATTCCAACCTGCTTGATAACGTGTGGAAAATATCAAAACTGGAGGACGTCTCGCACGAAATGCTCGTTTTTTTGCACCCACGTGTCTCGTTTCGAGTCTCTGGTTTTCCTGTGGCGTCGCCGTGTCTATGGGGGAAGCTCCGCGCTCCACACTCTACACTTTACACTCCACACTCCACAATTTACACTTTAGAGTCCACACTCTACACTTTACACTCCACACTTTGCACTTTACATTCCTCACTCCTCACCTGAGACTTTACACTCCACACTCCACACTTTACACTACACTCTACACTTTCCACTCCTCACTCCTCACTCTACACTTTACACCCCGCACTCTACACTTTACACTCCACACTCCACACTTTACACTACACACTCCTTACTCTACACTCCACACTTTACATCTTACACTCCACACTCCACACTCTACACACCACACTCTACGCTTTCCACTCCACACTCCACGCTCCACACTCCACACTCTACACTTTACACTCCACACTCCACACTTTACACTTTACACTCCGCACTCCACACTCCACACTCGACACTCCGCACTCCACACTCCACACTTTACTGTGCACTCCACACTCCACACTTTACACTCCTCACTTTACACTCCACACTCCACACTCTACACGCCACACTCTACACTTTCCACTCCAGACTCCACACTCCACACTTTACACTCCACACTCCACACTTCACACTCCTCACTCCACACTTTACACTCCACACTTTACACTCCACACTCCACACTCTACACTTTACACTCTACACTATACACTCTACACTCCACACTTTACACTTTACACTCCACGCTTTCCACTTTACACTCCACGCTTTCCACTTTACACTCCTCACTCCACACTTTACACTTTACACTGCACACTCTACACTTTACACTCCACACTCCACACTCTCACTCCACACTTTACACTCCACACTCCACACTTTACACTCCACACTCTACACTTTCCACTCCACACTCCACACGCTACACTCTACACTCCACACTCTACACTTTACACTCCACACTCCACACTTTACACTCCACACTCCACACTTTACACTCTACACTTTACACTCTACACTTCACACTCTACACTTTACAAACTCCACACTCCTCACTCCACACTTTACACTCCTCACTTTACAATTCACACTCCTCACTCCACACTTTACACTCCTCACTTTACACTCCACACTCCACACTCCACACTTTGCACTTTACACTCCTCACTCCACACTCTACACACAACACTCCACACTCCACACTCTACACTTTGCACTCCATACTCCACACTCTACACATTTCACTCCGCATTCTACACTTTACACACTCTACACTCCCCACTGCACACTTTACACTCCACACTCCTTACTTCACACTCCACGCTCCACACTCTACACTTTCCACTCCACACTGCAGACTGGTAACAAGGGAAACATGTACAAGACTGTTCAAATAAACTATTGCAGAAAGGTATTGTGCGTGACTGCATATCCATGTGTTTTGACATCTGTACCATTAACATACGTGTGAGCATTCGGGTTCGTGGGCTTCATCTTGTTTTTTTCTATATACAAGGTGGGGTCTCCGACTTATAAGTTGATTTATGAAGCCTATTAACTACAATTACAACTGCCATAAACCTTAGATAACCTATTTATAAACAAACTCAGCTAATTACGGGGCCCCTTCTTGCACACATATTATATATGCTTCATGTTCCAAGTGGTATGTTTGATTCAAATTCCCAGCCTACGATACTTGCCCCTATCTGTATATTTGACTCTATATCAAGCCCACTCTGATGGAACAGCTTCAAATTATAAGTTATATAGTCTTTAGGATTTGATTTTACTAAAAGCTCTATTTTTTATTCGGCTTTGCGACAGATAGCCCAGTTTCTTTGGTTCTGAAAAGAAGCAAGCGATATAGACCCATTATCCCATTGAAATGGCTTAGTCAATTCATTCCCTACTAAACCGTATGGCTTATAAAGGGGTTCTCTGTCACATAAATAAAGGGAAGGGATTCTATTCCATAAGTATTCTATGAATATGTTGATATTATCTCCCATATATATATATATATGTATTTTATCCCATTATATCTATATCCCATTCTTGTATTAATATCCTATCAATATTATGATGAGCTGGTGATTCATAATTAATATCCTATCAGTATACTTAAAATATGAATATCCTATCAGTATCTACAAGTGTTATTATTAAAGGGGAAGCGATCCAGATTTCTGGTTGGTTCATTTCCCGCCGGTGTTCCTGGGAGAATCCTCCGTACCATGGGGCCACGCTGGGGCCTTTTCCCAGGTACTTTAGTTTCTGGGCGTCAGAAAATCGGTTCCGGCAGTGCTGGAAGTTGTTCAGTCACAGTTCGGGATGTAAAGGTTGGGTAAATTTGTTTTTGTTGTTCAAGTTTTAAAAATTGGATTCATGTTTTATTGAATCAGAGTAATGAAAAGCCCATGTAAGCCACCAAAAAACATACAATGTTTAAAAGCATCCGGCTTTGCACTTTTACATTCTCCATGTATCACCATGGGTTGGTTTCTAATTTATAAGTGGGCTAGCCATGTTTAGCAAGGGATATGCCTGGCAGCATTTATATACCTACATTTTAATGTCTCATGATGGTCATGGAAATGGGCTAGCTGATTTCATATAGACCATGCATGGAACATTGCATGGGCATGAAAGATTTTAAAAAAAAACGTGGATATGTGGGCCGGTATGGGCCATATTGGATATGACCCAGTTGCTTCACATGCTTGGGTTAATATAGTAGGACCCATCAAAAGGCTGAAAAAAAAGTGGTGATACAAAAAGACAGAAACAATGATGGGGACCAGAAACTTGTGGCAAAAATATGGCTGCAGTTCTAGCGCCGAGTCTCAGTGCTTTGGCATCCCATGTATCACTGAGTTTTTCCGAAGATTCCCCAGAGTTCAAAGCTTTCAAACATGGCTCTTTGGGAATTCCCCGAATAATTTTTCAGGGGAAAATCAACCAAGTACCCTCTGGTTATGACTAACATAGCCATGGAAAATTGCCCATTTATAGATGGTTTACCTATTAAACATGGTGATTTTCCATGGCGAACTGTTAAATAACCAAAGGGTAAATGGGTGGATTTTCCATTGCCAATGGTTTGGCTTTTCACCTTTTTGGATTCCTCGGATCCTACGCATCCAAGCCATGATAAATAGCCTTAAAAATTTGGTGGTCATATCCACCAAGTGTCCAAGAGACACACAAGAAATGTGAAGCCAAAGATCTACGAATAGACTTTCTCAACCATGTCAACCATGTGATAGCTCAAAGAAACATGAAATCTTGGTCATTCTTTGTATTGAGCTTCAGTCCATGGCTGGACGGAACAAAAAACACATTTGAGAATGGCTCAAAATATGGATCCCCAGAAACATGGACGATTGAGAAAAAAAACATTCTCCCATCCTTCTTCCCAGTTCCAAAATGTTCAACATACCCCCAAAATTTTAAAATGGTACCCCAAATCGTGAATAGATCCAGTACTAAAGCAAGATTTCGTTTCAGGGGTTTCTTGTGTGATGGTCAAAACACAGGCTATGCTCCAATATTAAGAAAAACGATGGTCATCAATCCAATTTCATAGGAAATTATATACCTATTACGTGGCATGGGATGTAATGACCATAGCTCACTAATCACACTATGATTAATTAGTAAGTTTGTCATAATATACATGCGTATATATATATATAGTATATAGCATTATGTTCCCATTACACACATTCCCAATATACCTTTTTTTTTAATCTTGTTCTTGCTTCAATCATGATTCCCATACTGTGGCTTTATGTGCCCACTAAGTGCCTTATTGCGCATCACTCATTCCCATAGATGAAATCGCCATGACTCCAAGTTGTGGCCATGATGGCTGTAGGGGAAATGGTGATCTAAGCGTTACTAAAACTGGGGAAAATTCAAGGGCCATGAATTGGTGAGATAGTGTTATCCCAAGAAAGTGTTGGTTAAAAGCCATAGTCATACCATGGCCTTTGGGAGCCTATAGTCATGACCCTTATCTGTTATAAATAATATTAGTTATAAGTTCCAAAAAACAACATTTATGGAAAGATAACCCAGCTTATAAGATCTATTTATAACCATAAAAAATCACTGGTTTCTAGGGCTTTTATGAAATTTTAAGAATGGCAATGTACGATCGCCAGAGTCAGCCTTGCTAAGGTCAAGGGATTTGTCATTCTGGAGTGAACTGCGGTTTTTGCCATATGAGCCGCGACTGAATTTTTGTTGCAACCACTGGTTACTTGGGAATGGCTCTAGATTATATGTATAGATTTTTAATGGTTTTTATAATATATGCACCTCAAAATTTTAAATATATACAACAACCTGCTAGCAGTTAGAATAATCCAAAATTATACGGCAGCAGCTAGAATATTCCAAAGTGATACACAGCTCGACTTAGAATATTCGGAAAACATTAGCAGTTAGAATATTCCAAAGTCACATGAATCCATTCACCTCCTGGTTCTATTTAGCAACTATTTAGCAGCTATTTAGAAGCAATTTAGCAGCTATTTAGCACTTATTCAGCAGCTATTTAGCAGCTATTTAGAAGCTATTTATCAGGTATTCAGCAACTATTGAGAAACTATGTGGCAACTATGTAGCAGCTATTTAGCAGGTATTCAGCAACTACTTAACAACTATTTAGCAGCTACTTAGCAGCAATTTAGAAGCTATTTAGCAGCTATTTGGAACCTATTTAGTAACAATTGGCAGCTATTTGGCAGCTATTGAGTAGCTATTTAGCAGCTATTCAGCAGCTATTTAGCAGCTATTCGGCAGCTATTTAGCAGCTGTTTAGTAACAATTTGGCAGCTACTTAGCATGTATTCAGCAACTATTTAGCAGCTATTTAGCAACTATTGAGCAGCTATTTAGCAGCTATTTAGCAGCTATTTAGAAGCCATTTAGCGGTTATTCAGTAGCTCTTTAGCAGCTATTGAGTAGCTATTTAGCAGCTATTTAGCAGCTATTCAGCAGCTATTTAGCAGCTATTGAGCAGCTATTTAGTCGAAGGAAGTTTAGAAGTCAAACTTCCGACAATATGGACAGATTGGAAAGCAGAGGTGGGAAGAGTCAGAGAAGAGAAGAGAAGAAGAGAGAAGATCAGAGAAGAGAAAGAGTGAGAAGAAAGAAAAATTGCAGGTGCGCGAATAATAGCAAAGTCGCGATTCACTATGTTTTCCAAAGATTTGTGGCTCTGGAGGGCCGAAAAGTAGGCTCGCTAAAGCGGCGGGTGCGGAGCCATCTGGCCAGATGAGAGATGAAAAATTGGATGCCGTTGTGGCGCGAAGCACATTTCGAAGTCAAAACGCGCAAAACACTTCAGGCTCGGAGCACTTTTGGAAGCTGAGATGTCGAAAAAGTGCACCCCTTTGTGGCGCGAAGCACATTTCCAAGTCAAAATGTAGAAAACACCTCAGCTTCAGAGCGCTTTTAGAAGTTGCGATATCGAAAAAGCGCACGCCATTGTGGCGCGAAGCACATTTCGAAGTCAAAATCTACAAAGCACACCAGGTTCGGAGCACTTTTGGAAGTTGAGATGAGCAAAAAGTGCACGCCGCTGTGGCACGAAGCACATTTCGAAGTCAAAATCTACAAAGCACACCAGGTTCGGAGCACTTTTGGAAGTTGAGATGAGCAAAAGGTGCACGCCGCTGTGGCGCGAAGCACATTTCCAAGTCAAAATGTTAAAAACACCACGTGCTCAGATCACTTTTGAAGGTTCAGATGTGGTTTTGCGTTGCAGGCGCAAGGGATTGTGCACCTTGCCAAAAGTGAGCAAAACGTGAGGGTTTTGTAGCAGTTCCAAAAACGATGGCAGGCGTGGGACATTTGAAGAGGATCTGGAAAGATGCATTTCGCGTGGCAGGCGCAGTACAAGAGACATGTTCATCAGAGATGTTAGGAGGTCAGGGCGCTGATTTCCTTAGAGGGGTTGCATTTTGGAGCATCAGATATTCAGGTTTGCTAAGATGATTTTGCGTGACAGGTGCTTCGTATGACCTGGCATCACTTTTTCGTGGCAGGGGCAGTACTTTAGACAGATGGAATGGACAAATCGCAAAACACATTGGTACGAGGCCGCCAGCTCTGCACTCAACTTTCCATTTTTTGAGGGAAGTCTTGCAGAATTGCTTCGTTTTTGATGTTGTCAACTTCGAAAATTGACTCGCAGAATTGCTTTATTTTTTGACATTGTCAAGTTAAACATTGAAGAAATCTCGCAGAATTGCTGTGTTCTCGATGTTGTGAAGTTAAAGCATTGAGGAAGTCTCGCAGAATAGCTTCGTTTTCAAGCTTGCAGATAGACAGATAGATTAGATAGATGGACGGACGGACGGATGGATGGATGGATGGATAGATAGATTCGATAGATTAGATTAATTAGATAGAATAGGTAGAATAGATAGATAGATAGATAGATAGATCAATAGGTAGATTAGATAGATAGATAGGTAGATAAATCGATAGATAGATAGATAGATAGATAGTTAGATAGATAGATAGATAGATAGATTAATTAGATAGATAGATAGATAGATAGTTAGATAGATAGATAGATAGATAGATTAATTAGATAGATAGATAGATAGATAGAGAGAGATGTAAGTAAGATAGATAAGTAAGATAGATAAGGTTGACAGATAGATAGATAGATAGATAGATCGATAGTCAGATAGATAGATAGACAGATAGATAGATCAATAGGTAGATTAGATAGATAGATAGGTAGATAAATCGATAGATTAGATAGATTAGATAGATTAGATAAATTAGATAGATTAGATAGATTAGATAGATTCGAAAGATTCGATAGATTCGATAGATTCGATAGATTAGATCGTATAGATAGATTAGATAGATTAGCTAGATAGATTAGATAGATTAGATAGATTAGATAGATAGATTAGATAGATAGATTAGATAGATAAGATAGATAAGATAGATAAGATAGATAGATAGATAGGTAGATAGATCGATCGATAGATCGATAGATCGATAGATCGATAGATCGATAGATCGATAGACCGATAGACCGATAGATAGATTAGATTAGATTAGGTTAGATTAGATTAGATTAGATAGATAAGATAAGATAAGATTAGATTAGATAGATCGATAGATAGATAGATAGATAGATAGATAGTCAGATAGATAGTTAGATAGATAGATAGATGGATAGATTAGATAGATCAGATATATTAGATAGATTAGATTAGATGAGATGAGATGAGATTAGACTAGATTAGATAGATAGACAGATCGATAGATAGATAGACAGATAGATAGATAGATTAGGTTAGATTAGATGAGATGAGATTAGACTAGATTAGATAGATAGACAGATCGATAGATAGATAGACAGATAGATAGATAGATTAGGTTAGATTAGATGAGATGAGATTAGATTAGATGAGATTAGATTAGATTAGATAGATCAGATAGATTTGAAAAACTAGATAGATTAGATAGATTAGATAGATTCGATAGATTCGATAGATTAGATAGGTTAGATAGATTAGATAGTATAGATAGATTAGATAGATTAGGTTAGATAGATTAGATAGATTAGATAGATTAGATAGATTAGATAGATAGATTAGATAGATTAGATAGATAGATTAGATAGATTGGGTTAGTTAGATAGATAGATAGATAGATAGATTAGATTAGATTAGATTAGATTAGATTAGATTAGATTAGATAGATAGATAGATAGATAGATAGATAGATAGATAGATAGATAGATATATAGAACAATACAACTACAACTACAGCTACCACTACACCACACTATGGATACAACTACACATGCAGATATACTACGCTACATTACACACTAAGCTTCATTACACTACACTAATTAAACTACACTACGCTAATATACGCTAATTACATCTAATTACGCTACACTGCACTAATTACACACAACAACAACAACAACAACAACTACAACTACAACTACAACTACAACTACAACAACAACAACAACAACAACAACAACAACTACTACTACTACTACTCGAAGGAAGTTTAGAAGTCAAACTTCCGACAATATGGAGAGATGAAAAGCAGAGCAGGGCAGAGGCAGAGAGAAGAGGAAGATTAGAAGAGAGAAGATCAGAAGAGAAAGAGTAAGAAGACAGAAGATACAGATGCGCGAAAAGGTAGCAAAGTCGCGAAACACTGTGTTTTTCCAATGATTTGTGGCTCCGGAGGGTCGAAAAGTAGGCTCGCTAAAGCGGCGGGTGCGGAGCCAGCTGGCCAGAGGAGCGATGAAAAATTGCACGCCGTTGTGGTGCGAAGCACATTTCCAAGTGAAAATGTACAAAACACACCATTCTCGGACCACTTTTGGAAGTTGAGATGTCAAAAAAGTACACGCCGTTGTGGCGCGAAGCGCATTTCGAAGTCAAAAGTGTTAAAAACTGGCGGTCTCGGACCACTTTTGGAAGTTGCGATGTCGAAAAAGTGCACGCCATTGTGGCGCGAAGCACATTTCGAAGTCAAAATGTACAAAACACACCATGTTCGGACCACTTTTGGAGGTTCAGATGTCGAAAAAGTGCACGCCGTTGTGGCGCGAAGCACATTTCGAAGTCAAAATGTACAACACACCACATGTTCGCGCCACTTTTGGAAGTTCGGATGTCGAAAAAGTGCACGCCTTTGTGGCGCGAAGGACATTTCGAATTCAAAATGTTAAAAACACCAGGGGTTCGGACCACTTTTGGAGGTTTGGATGTCGCTTCGCTTCAATACACTACACTACATTACACTACACTACCTTCCACTACACTTCACTACATTACACTACACTCCACTACACTACAACTACACCTACGACTACACAACTACACTCCACTAGACGAAATTACACTACACTACACTAAATTACACTACACTACACTACATTACACTACACTCCACTACACTACACTACATTACACTACACTGCGCTACCTTCCACTACACTTCACTACATTACACTACACTACAACTACAACTACAAATACAACTACAACTACAGAACTACACTCCACTACACTCCGCTACACTAGACTACATGACACTACACTCCACTACACTACATTACACTACACTACACTATCTTCCACTACACTTCACTACACTACACTACACTCCACTACACTACAACTACACCTACGACTACACAACTACACTCCACTACACGAA